ACAGTGAGTGGCACATTCAAACATTCTAATTCCCCTGCTTTCCATTTTGCTGCCTCCAAATATATATGAATGTATGTCAAATTAATCATAAAAAAACCGCGCCGCTCATGGGCAAAAGTGCACGTGGATGAAAAAACAGGCCTGCAGACAAACGGGCCGTTGACTTCTATGCACAAAAACCTCAGGAGACTTCAAGTGAGCCGCGATTGCGATCGTTTTTCACGGGGAAAAAATATACCACACGCGAAGCTCGAGACAATGAGCCGGCGGCATTGTTCATGTCGCGCCATTACTGTGCAAGAGTGGTGCTTGTTGATTTTTCAATTTCCTCGTCAGCATTCAAACAAACTTCTCTCTCGTACGTCTCTCGTCGTGCCGCAAAAACTTTTCGGTGCACGTGTGTGTTGCAAAGGCAGGGGTGGAAACTCTTTTCAAAGGCCAGTGTCGTCCCCTCGGACAAAAGGGAACCGGCTGGGCAAAATTGGAATTTGATTTGGCTTTGCCCCGTTGTGGCCATTTAATTGGATTGAAAGATGGCCGTGCCGAGAGAGAAGAAAGCATGCAAATGATCAAAGTACGGGAATGTGTGTAGAAAGTTCCGTTGGGGATTTGCATTAAGTGAAATATTTCAGATTGTCAGCTCCCTCCCAAGAGGAAGGATGACGCCACTGGATTTGCTTTTTAGTGTAATTGAATTTTTTGTCTTTGATAGATGGCGTTTTGTTGATATTTGAATTATCCGTCAATAAATCAAAATATCGCCCAAAAAAATATAGTTTATACAATTTATAATCATTAATAATATTCAGATGCTCCTCCACCCCCTTGATTTATGCATAACTTTGAAATTTCAATAATTATCTCTGCTATTTTTTTTTTTTTTGCTAATCCTTTTAAATTTATCTTATTTCTACCAAAGCGCATTAATGGGCTCACCCCAAGCAAAAATCTATCGCCTAATTAAAGATATAATTGATTAAGTTATGAATAAAAATCAGACAAAAGCCTTATTGAGCATTAACAGTTGTGCATACTGTAAATAGCACCCTAAAATTATTTGTTTGGAACATAAATAACATATGAAGTTTCATTTTTCATTCTTTCAAAGACGCAATTCACAGGGACAGCATAATATTAAATCTCGGAACATTTAATTTTGAACATATTGCTCTGTTTTCTTATGCATTTAGTAAAAATGTAATATTAACGTATTATGAATATAAATATTTTCATGATATTAGATAAAGAAAATTATTTTTTTGTCTTCTTTTATACTTAAATTAATGCAGCATTTGTCAGAAAAAATTCATGAAAAATAAACAATATAAAAAATGTTTTTAAATGCCACATAAAATACCCAAAAAATTGAAAAAAAAAACACAAATATGTTAAATATGAAAATTATATATGGTACATAATATTATGTTGCTTATTGTGTTCAGTATTTGAATTTTACTAAACTTACAAAATATAAAATGAGTGCGTATTGATAAAAAATTTATTTTAATTATTTTATAAAATTTACCAAGCAATAAAAGTGTTTAGCCTATTTTCTCAACACCTGAGTAACGAGTTTTAAGAAATAAAAAAATAAAATAAATGGATATCAAACTAGATTGTCCATTAAAATTACCATCTAATCCTCCAATATTGTAAAGAGCAAAAATTTATAGCTCCTCGAGAGAAACCGACCTTCAATTTCTGCATATAATCCGAAGGCAAACTTCACACTTCGGTGCAAATCAACAGACTAGTGTGTCCACAGGCCGCGCTTTTTCCAGCCGAATGTAAATTTCAGGTGGTTCGCTGGCCCTTCGCCGCCCGCTCCACTTCTTATACAACACATAGCGCATTCATGACCCGGGGGACGCCGTTAGCCCCGAAATGTATGTAGAGCGCTGCCCGCTCGGCCGACGCATAATCTAATCAAATAATCCTGCCACTCGGCGGAGGCGAGAGGCCTTTCCGGGGCTGCAACACCGTAAAACAGCTAATGTTGTCGCGTCCAAAACTGACATAGCAGTAATTTCGGAATTATGAATATGAGAGCTTTTTAATGTCCGGCCCGCGGCTTCAATTATGAACTGACGCGAAATAGCTTCTTGTTTGTCAAAATTATGGGGTGGTCTGATTTATGAAACTTTTGCACTTTTGACGCTCGGAGTTTTTTATAATCTTGTTTTGGTCCATTATATGAGGCTGTGGACGTTTATTATAAATTTCATGCATCGCTGGACAGTGGAGAATAACATCAAAAATGAACTAATTACTTTCATAGTAATTAATTACATGCATATATTTTAAGTTAATTTATAAACTCGGCATCAAAATTTTGTTTTTAATTATCCAGCATTATTGCTAGCATGGCAAGAATTGCTTGGGGAGGAGAAAAATGTTTGGTAAGAAAATATCAGGAATATCTTATTGTTAGAAGAATTCAAGTAATTCAATAAAATATAACTTGAAAAAAATACTTTTAAATATGTAATTGTATCAATATATAGCCAATATTAAATAATTATATTTTACCGAAACACAGAGCACTAATGATTTTGACTTGACAAACTACTAAAACTACTTCAACGTCAAGAGTGTACAATGCATTACTGCTACAATTTATAACTTCTTATCAGATGGAGAAAAAAATTAAATAACATAACTTTAGAGAAAGTCCTTTCATAAATATATATACAAAAATGCCATCATTATAAAAAATTAACTGAATTTCTGTTTAAATTCAGAAAAATATTAATAAATTTAATAAAAAAAAAAAAATGGCAATCACCCAAAGTTAATATTTTTAATATAACTAATAAGGTAAAATTACTATTGTACTTAAAATAAAACACTCGCAACTTTAAGCTTCATGAAACGTGAACATAAAATTAAAATATAAAGCGGCCAGTGGGTGTCTGGCGGTGTCGCGTGCGCTCGGTAAGATCGACCAGCGGCGATGAAGCGTTCGGCCGGCGAGTTGCGGATAATTAGCGTCAGGATGCGGGGGTCACGGTGCCTGGTGGCATCATTATCGGTCTGCATGTGTGTTGGTTTGTCTGCCAGGGGCGTTGATGGAAGGACTGAGAGTTATCCTGGAGCATTGGCGCGGTCAAAATCTCGTTAACGCACTCCACGAGCTGAATTTCGAAATTTTGGCTGCACCGCAAAAATCGGAGCGGCCCGGCCTAATTGCTTCTTGCTGCTGAGTGGACGGACATGCACGCGGTCATTACAGGCGAGGGCGGCTTTTTAAATGAGACCCACCCTGATTGGATTTTCGATCACCCCATGTTTGGATTTTTTGATAAGAAATTATTTAATATTTTACTTGAGTAAAGCTTTTTTGTTCCGTTCGCTTTTCCTGACTAAATTAAAAATTAAAATGCCTGTCTGTGAAAAGGGTCGAAAGGTCAATGATATCAGCACTTTTACGCAAATTAGTCGCGTGGGACTTGACGAGCGGGACGCGGTAATGAGCTCTTTCGAAATTCGCTTACTCATTATGCAGCAAATCTGAGAGCCAAAGAACACGCCCATCAACCATTGTTTTCGGATCATCTTAATTTCATGCAAATTTCTGCAACATATTTATTTCAAACGCTCGGCTGTCTGTATAAAATTGTTTTGTAGCTATAAAAAATGTTTATAATTTTAAGCAGAGGAATAATACTTATTTTGCTCAATGTCTCAAGCATAATTGATTGTTTAGCTATTATATTGTTGGTTGTATGGTCAACATTGTTACTAAAAAAATTTTTTACATTCAATACTAAAAAAAATGACGAAATTTATTATTGAAGGACCAAACCGATAATAAGAAGTCAAAATAATAGATTTTCAGAATTAACATTTTTGTTTCAATTTTGATGCAAAATATCAATTAGTTCTTTGAAAATAATGAATGACATTCTGTATAAATAAAAAAAGAAAAATTGTAAAATAATACAGTTGCAGTTCAAAACAAATTGAAAGAAATGGTTGATTTTCCTCTCACAAGAGCACCCAACTAGAAATAACCTCCCAACAACCATTTTTATTTAAGTTATTAAAATATAAAACAATAAATTAAAAGATTTTATAAACATGGTTTTTATATTTATTTTATTTTATTTATTTTAATGAAAAAATTTAAATGCAAATATTTGTATTAGTTACAATTTAAACTCTGAAATAAATGTATGTGTGTGGTTAGAAAAATAAATATATTATAAATACTTACCAACTGCCTGTTTCTGGATTTGTTAATACTAATATTAACTGGTCTCCAGCTCAAATACCTATTTTGATGCCAGCCACTTACGCGTGTTTCAAATATTCTTTGTAAAGTTATTAATTTGTTATTTTGTTATCAATCATTAAAATAATTATAAGAAAAAAAATAGAAGTATGCAAAATGCATTGTTCAATTTTATAAAAAATATGGCTATTTATTTGATTTGACTAAAATTTGTTCTTCCTCTCGATACAAATCAAACAATTAATAATTTATCATCATAAAATTCACCTTCAATAAAAGTCCTAAAATTTAATATTTGACTTATTTATCAGAGATGGGGTTAAATTATGCTCCGGCGAGTGCTGTGGCCTCATTCGATTATAAGCCATAATCCGGCATGAATTCAATTTGACTGGGGCCTGGCGGCCAAATAAAAAGCAGCAGCCTCGCGTGCGCTCTGCCTATAATCACAAACACCCTAATCAACACAAAACAGGCGCGCGCATTAATTGATACAAACAACCCTTTGGCGTGGAAATTGAAAAAAAAAATTGTTAATAATGCAAGCGGGTGGTACGAAGATAAACCGAGACTAAAAGTTTCATCCTAATGTGAGTGGTCAGTGCATTGGTTTGGCTCGTTATGGGGTCCGGCGGCCGTAAAGGTGGCCCCCCTAGAGAAGCGTTTGAGACTCGCACTACTTTATCTCTTTGCGGCCGCTTCATCAATAGCGAGCGAGGGCCGTCGAACAAATGTCGAGCGCGGCCGAGAACGATGTATCACTCACCTTGGGGTGTTCCCTGATGGGCACCAACACTCGCACTGACACTTTGATGGGCTTCTCCTTGGTGATGTCTGCGAAAGTCCTCTTCTCCTCCCGAGACAGCCGACCCGTACTCTGAACACGTTCCAGCTCTGCCAACAAAAAGGAGAACGGGTCAGTTGTGTTTTTTAGTTAGATGAGAAAAGTTTTAAAATCGACTCTGCGAACAGAGAGATCGACTTGCTAAGTAAGAACAGAACTGTCACGTCTGAATTCAAAGTTAATCTTGAATGAAGAAAATATATTTTTTTTTTTAGTTCGTCAAAACCCCCCAACTAATTTTGCCGGTGACAATTTTTATTTACATTCTTTCATTTCAAAAAGATTCAAAATTTCTCATGACTGATGTTTCAACTAAAACCTTTTTACTGCCAAGTTATTAAGAAAATAAAACAAATTTCATTAATGGAGTTACAGGATTTTCAATTATTTCAATTTTCGCTGTGAAAGCTTAATAAAATTATTACAGCCTTTTTAGACGATTTCTTTGAAAATAATAAGTTAAATGTATTGAGAAAAAACTGAATAATTACGAAAAGGTATCCTCATTTCTATAACTGGGATCGAAGTAAAAAAAATGAACCTAATTTACGAAAATTTAGTGACACATATATACGAATGGAAACTTTAAAACTATTCTCTTAATGTGTCAGAGGTAACAATAATATTAAGATTTAACATATTCTGTCCAAAAAAAAATTGGGGGATATTCAAATGCTAAGTTATTTTATGGGAATTGCTGGGGCTAACTTAGCATGTGACTATCTTCTATTTGTCAAATTAAAAGTAGAGAAATGAAATAAATGATGAAATTTTTAATTTTTTTTCAATTTTGCTAACATTGCTATGAATCTTGCCTAATAAAAAACAAAAAAAAATTAAAAATTGCCAAACAGCTAAATCAATTGCACTGAAGTGGCAGTAACTAATGAAAATTTAGAAATCTGGAAGCTTCTATGGATACAAAATTTAAGGAAGTCAAACCTAATACCTTTTCTTTGTACTCATGGCTCCATTTAATTTCAATTTTGAATCTCTTTTGTTCTAAAATTTAAAATAATACAAAAATCAGCAGAATCAATTATTTTTAAAATAGAATCGGTTGGCAATTCAAACAATCTTCTTAATAAGAAAACGTATAGTTTACTGATGAAATTATATCAAAGACCCTATTGTATTTTTGTTTGTCCTTAAATCCAGCCAAAATTATTCATCAAAACAAATTAATTATTCCGTCTCGTCTCTTTTCCCTCATTCTCTCCTTTGTCTCTTTAGAACAATATAAATTCATAACAAAAAATTCGGGGGAGATAAATCTGGTGTGCGTCGGAGTGAACTTTGCTAAAATTCACAAAGCGCAACCCCCACGCGTAATCAGCGCACATGCAAGCGAATATTTAAAGACTGCCTTCCCGCATCCAATTTATCGTCGGCGCGATCATCAATTATTTTCAGTACACGCTTAACATTATCCAGAGCAGGCTCTGTACTGTCTGCCCGTTTTTACGACAAAACAGAAGAGCGCTTCTGAATGCGCGCCCTAACATTTTCATCCAAGCGAACATAAAAAAAGCGACCGCAGAATTCTGCATTTATTTTGCGCACAGGCACGGGGCGTTTAATTTAAATCAGGGCGACTAATGGCCGAAAGCGTCTCCACTTTTTGCGCTTATAAATAATAATTAATAATTTTACGAGCCTGTTTTTACGCCGTTACAAAAATTTAATTACCCCCGACCCTTTCGGCTTGGCAGCCGAAATTAATTTTCTCACGAGGATAACGCGAGCCGGGATTTGCATAAATTATGCAAGCTCGACGGGTCAGTGCAGCCAATAATAATGAGGTACTCGCTCGGATTAGCTGCACGTGCGATTGTGGGTGGGCGCCGGATTAGTGGCCAGACACGCCGAGCTGCTCATTTTTCGCACCTTCTGCTTTGCATCTCGGCGGAAATAATCAGCGGCACTTTGTTGTTCCAGCACTGCTGCCGAGAGACAAGAGACCATAAGCTGCCAGCACGTGCTTCACTTTTTTATATAAAACGAGTGCCACGAAAATTCTTTCGCGGCTCTTTAGAGATTTGGCGGTTTTGAGCCTCAAGATTTTCCTGGATCTTGAAGATGGAATTTGCTTTGTTTCGGGGATTAAACTCCAGAGAATAAGAGCCTTTTCAAATTGACAACGAAATATACCTTGTTGAAATATTTTTTAATGTTGATAGGAATAGAAGTATTTTACCATTGATAATAATCTCTTGTTTTATTTTAAATTTTTTTTTGATACTTAACTTATACAAACTTATTACAAAAGTTTTGATTATAAAAAAAAAATTCCGGCTCAATATTTAAAAAAAAAATCTTAATTATGTACCGTTTTTAAACCTTTTAAGACTCGATTTCCAACAATATTAGCACTAATTGTTAGCAGATATTTTTGTGTATCTTCTAAAACCACACAAAATATTACACATATTACACAAGATTGGTGCTTGCCTTCAGTATGCTCAAAAAGGGCACAGGCCGGCCGACCAGACACTTTGTCTTGGTCTGACAAAAAATAAGGTTTTTCGTTAACGATGCATTGCGCTTTTCCTAGTCCGATGTGCTTTTTTACCACCAGCAACCGCAAATGAATTTAATTTTTTCATCAACGACACAACTTTTGGTGCGCGTTTTTAGTCGTTTGTTGCCGGTCAGAATAATTCGCCAACTTTTGCCGCACGGCAGCAAACAAACGAGCGCGACCAATGAGCCGCCGCCATTGCTCTCCTTAGCATCACTTGTTTGGTCAATATTTGTAACAACTAGCGAAACTACACAAAACCACCGCCGCATCTCTGCGGTGGAATTCTCTGCTCCAATCCCGGTCTAAGTTTTTTTATTTCCTTTCTTGCTTTTGTGAGTGGCCGGCCAGCAGGTAAAAATTGTGCACGCGAAAAAGCAAAAATTGCTCGCTGCTTTCGTGAAATGGTAATTTTTCAAACTTTTTGTGTGTGTGCTGCGCCAGTTGTGCTGAGCAGCCGGTTGTATTTTTCACATCAAAAGCATCTAAAGAGAGAAAAAGAGAAAAAGAGCGTTCTGTGGTCGCTGCAAAAGGAACTTCACATAAATACAGCCGGCGCAAAAAAGCAGGCTAAAGGTCTTAGCCGCTCTCTCGTGTATCATAAGATTCATAAGGGATTTCGGTGGTCACAAAAACGGATTGGGAAATGATCGAAATGGCCAACTTCAAAGAGGAATAATCCTGGGTTTGCTGGTCACATTTCGGAGGCCACTTTGCTAATAGAATGGTGAAAAAGCGAGAATTAAATAAATTCGGTAAGCTGGGGCCAGTCAAGTTGTAGCTTTTGAAAATGTTTGGTCGATACTAGACGCCACTCTCTACTTTTATCCAATTTCAACCCTTCTTCTGTTGAATAGAATTATGTACCATAGGATTTGAAAACAAAGACGATTTGCAATTTTTTACTCAGTATTTTAATCTGAAATCACCACCATAATTAAAAAAGTCGATTAGCCACTTCAAACTGCATGGCTAAATCACTAAATAGAACTAAAAAGAATCACATTTCCTGCCTAGAAAAATATAATGTATTTGAGGTTTTTTCTGGATAATGATTGCTATTTTCTTTATAAAGAGCAGCATTTTTAATCTCAGTAATCAAAATCACAAGCGTTTAAAATTTAAGGGACGTTGGAATCTCTAAATGCGATCATATAAGCAAGTCCGTCAGATCGAATGAAGCTTCTGGCGAGAAAAAGTAAACGATGAATACTTGCATCAACATAGACATGAAATTAGTCACCTCTCAAATTCATAAATAACAATTATTTTTATAGTGATCTTGACTATGTGATAAATGTTTGTTTTTTAGTGCTAAAGATGGAAAATATAATAACGTTTTATTAAACAAGGTAATTTTTTGCTAAAAAACTGTTCAAATTTTGATTAAACAAATTGTATCTTTTCGGTAAAAATGCGTTTTTAAGCGCCTATAAATCATGGTCGCTCCAGCTGAGTAAGCAAAATGAAGAAGACGAAAAGAAGTTTCCGTTTTTTGCGTGGGCGACACCTCTTTTTATTGAATGATTGATGGCAAACGGATTTAGTAGTGATTCTCTCGATCTGTTGAGAATCCAACTAAGATTTATTGTGTGCGTCTCTCTTTCTATTTCGAGCGGCATGCAAATGGTCTTGCTTGCGGACAGCTGGCGGAGAGTGAAAGAAAGTAGGCAATCAACATAATTGAGATATTCTCGGGCGAGAGAAACATTTGTTGCAAAACATTCAAAGTTTGCCAAGTGCGGAAAGAACAAAAAGGAGTAAGCGCTGCGCTAAGCTGCTTTCTTCCGCGTCGTTTCACATTCATCTTTTCCATTTTTCTCCATTATAATCCTGTTGAATTTCCGCCAGAAGAAATTTTCACGACGCCAGGTGCGTCCCGGTAGATAGAAAGCCCACTCATTGATTTGGCGATGCGAGAACGGTGATAATAATAAATCAGTTTAGTCAAGGAGGAAAAATCAATTGTGAGCCGCCGCAGCCTCTTTCAGCACGCCAAGGTGTTTTTTATTCTTCTGCACGTGAAGGAGAGAAAAAGAAGCACTTGCCGAAAATCATTGGCTGCCTATAAAAAGATTTACCTTCGCTCGTGGAACGCCGAAAATAAATGTGAGAGGAGCGCAGCCAGGCGTGCATTTTTCTTGGCACCTTCGATCTCGCAAATCAATTCTTGTCTGATCGAATGATTTTTCCTTACAGGTTTGTTAGTTTTAGTTTGATTTAATTTTGAATCACATTGTCTTTACCAAACAACAGTTAAAACTGCTGAAAAATTTTTTACCGTTAAATCTTGGAACCTAACAGGTCATATTAAAAAAGAAACTCTGGTTCAAGACAAAAATGGAACTAGATACATTCCATTATTTTTTTCATCTTTTAATGTGTGATTTCCCTGCTTTCCTCCTCAAAATTATAGACAATGATATTATGCAACCTGCCACACTTTGAAGTAAAACAGGTTGCATTTCATTATAATCCGATCTCCCTTTTATACAATAGTAGTTTAGTAGTTTACGCCACTTATTGAAT